CAGGCACCAGGGGCCGGGGCCCTCGCAGGCGGGAGGGCTGGCGTGGCCCGGGCCGCGCCCCGAGGGAGCCAGCAGCGTGTCCAAGACACTGTCCAGCAGCCCGCCGTCCTTGTCGGGGGCTCTCGCGCTGCCTCCGCTGGCACCCCCGGGGGCTTCCACGCGGGGGTACGCGCCCCCCACGTCTGGCGGCGGCGGCCGGTCCAGGGTCTTCGCGTCCGGGGAGACCCGCCCGGGGCAAGGCCGAGGCAAGAGCAGCCCCTCCAGCGAGAGGGGGACTGCGGGCGAGGTGTCGGCGCTGGCCGGGAAGGGGCCGGGGTCCGCGCGTCCCAGTCCCAGCGGAGGGGAGCGGACCCGGGTCGGGGAGGGCGCGCCGCCCGCCACGTGCGGAGCCCGGGGGTCCTTTGCCGTGGGCTCTGTCATGTCGAGCTGGCCTCCCTTTTCTCCACCCCTGTGTCTAGGGAGGAGGGGCAGGAGAGGGGTGTGGGCCATGCGGGAGCCGGGCGGAGAGGGGGCTGGCCACTGGGGTCGGAGGGGGCGGCGCCGCTCAGCTCCTGCCCTTGCCCGTCCGGGAGGGAGCGAGGGCCGAGTGGCCGGAGGCGGTCCGTCCAGGGCCCGTGGGGCGGCGCCGCAGGCGGCGGGGGTCGGTCTCCTGGCTGGGACAGTGGCCCCAGCCCGGACCGGCGTCCTGGCGGCAGGTGCCTAATACTCACGGGTCCCTCCGGCACCGGACGGCTGACTCGGGCGCAGTCACCCGCGGTGCCCTCTGCAGACTTTTCCTCCCGCTGGCAACAGGTGCCAGGCGCGCCTGCCCGGTGCCGCCCGCGCCTGCCCGGTGCCGCTCTGCCGCTTGCTACTTCCCTTCTCGTTGGCACCCGGGGCCTCCTCGGACCTCGCGGCCCCGCCCCCGCCTCCGCTCTCCTGCCCGCTCCGGGCGGCTGGCGACTGCCATCGCCGCAGCTGTCTGCGGCGAGCACAAACGCTCAGGCGCTAAGTGAAACTACTGGGAGCGCGCGCGAGCCCCGCAGGCGGCGCGCGCCCTTCCCCGGCCCCTGGCACAGGCCCTGCTTTGCCCGCGCCTCCTCGCGGTCGCCGCGCCCGCTGCCCTGCCCTGCGCTCACCCGGCGCTCTGGGCCCCACCGGTCTCCCCTCGGCGGCCAGATCCCTCCCGGCATGGCAGGTGCCCGCTGCTGAGCGTGGGAGAGGCCAGGTTTTGCCTACGCGGTCTCTGACCGGAGGAGCGCGGGCCACGCTGGAGCGAACCGGGGTCCAGAGCTCAATGTCTTCGGCCAGATGACAGGGTGGGCTGGCCAGAGGCGTCCTCTGGGGCCCATTCGGCTTAGCCTGGGGCGCAGAGAGAGGGAAATGCAGGGAATGTGACCCGGGAGCCAGAGAAGGGGGGGCGGGGAGGGGAGCCAGGAGGAATTGGGATCCCCGCTAAACCCAGTTCGCCTGGTACCCGGAATTGGAGCTTTTCTAAAACCAGTACACAAAAGCACCATTTTGGCCAGGCTTGCACTGATCTCAGGACGTTCTTTGGCTGGGCAGGCTTGCTTGACAGTCGGCTTCCCTTCGCCTCCTCCTTAAAGAAGAACATCCCCGGCCCTCCCTGGGGGCGCAGCGGGTTAAAGCGCAGCACTGAGAGGCTCAAGCCACTTCTGCACGAGTTCCATCCCTGCCTGCCCCAGGTGACCACAGGGCGCGGCAGACCTCTCCTGACCGCCCACTGCTCCCCTCAGCAGTGTGCTTCATGGATCTGCCTGTTCTGCACCCCACTCTGTACCCCACTCTGTCTCTGGTGAAGCCTCTCGCTGCCCCTGAGCCTCTGGCCTGTACCCCAGTTCTGTATGAATAAATAAATAAATCCTAAAAATAAATAAAAAAAAGAACATCCCCAGGGTCAACGAGCAAACAATACATTTACTCCCTTCTAGAGCAAGTGTGTCAGGGGTGAGGCCATATAATATAAAGGGCGCTCTCCTTGGTGACCTCGGCCAGCAGGGCCTCCGCCCTCACTCTGAGGCTCTGAGACCGTCGCTGCTGTCCGAGCCCGGAGTGGAGGCGGCTGGTTGCGGCCAGGAAACGCGTGGACGCCACTGGGCTGGGATGCGGCTGATTGAGGCCTCAGGGGTTTGCCGTGAGTCCTGCTTCCACCTGAAGACCCGCAGTGTTTATTCCCTTCCACGTTATTATTATGCTTACACAGAGCGCTTTGAGCTTTCCAAGCAGCTCATGTCTTCAGGAAACCAGGGAGAGGAGAATCACTGCGGAATCCTGACATCTAGACACCGGCCAGCAGGCGCGCGGCGCTGAGACCTGCTGTCTGGGCCCATCTTGAACATCCCACGGGCCAAACGCATTAGAGCTGGGATCTGTGTAAGGCGCCCTGGCTCCTGCCAGGCCCAGGGAGGGCCACGGGGGTCCGAGGCAGGAGGTCTGGGTGCCGGTGACCGCGGAGGGTCCAGTGAGTGAGAAATTAATCTTTCGCGTATTTGGCGCTGAATTTTGGACTTGATGGTCCCAGCAGTTCGCTTACTCTGTCTAATTTCAGACGTCCAAGAGTTAGGCAGGTTTCAGTGGAGTGGAGAAGATTCTGGAAGCAGATGTAGCGTGTCACAGGCTCCAGGTGCGCATTAACATGGGCAGGCCAGGCGGCCTCAGCGGACGTGACCCTTTTATTGGGCGAGCCGGGGGCACAGGGAGCTCACTGCGGCCCTCTGCTGTGTTTCACAGTCCGAAGGAGTGGGGGATTGACAAAGAGGAAGCCGGAAGAAAGGCGTGGGGGTCACTGAGGCGCCGGGGCCGCAGGGGGCCAGCCGGGAAGCCAATCTTGACTCTCTCAGGGCTCTGTCCTCCGTGTCCTGGGTTCTCTGCCTGGCTCCGCCCTGTGACGCCGCCCCACAGGCCCGTCCCAGGCTCAGCTGGCCGGCCACGCACTGCCGTGTCCACCATCAGGCCTTCATGCCCCAGCCGGCTCCCGAGTGCCCCCAGCCTTCGGAGCCAGAGGCCACGGAGGCCAAGGACGGGGCCTGCGCCGTCTTCCTCCCCCTGTACTGTCCAGACAGATGACCAGTTAGGTGGGGGTTTATCCTGTTCACAGACTTGCAGACTTGACTTTGATAGCGAGATGGCTCCTGTCGGCCAGCTGTGGGCAGTACCTCCACAGCCAGGGCCGCTGTGTGGCAAATGGCCACTGGTTGAGGACATAGAGGTCACTTCTTGGGATCCCTTGACACACAGTAGTGGCCCCTCCAAGGAGGACCACACCCGCACACCCTGCTGTTCACCCCTGTGCAGGCGGGATATATTCGGCCGAAGGAACAGGGTATTCAACCAAGTGACCTAGGCGGTGGACGTGTCGCCTGTCAGGAGGTCTGGAGGGAAGAGGCCTGGAGCCCTCGCCAGTGGCGGAGCCGAGTCTCCGCTTGCAGCTCGCGTCAGCTCGAGTCAAAGGCTTCAGTGTTACTTTCTTCCTTGTCCCTTGATGTCTAAAAGCAGCTACCCAAGGTGGCCTGTCTCACACTTGATCAACATGGGAGTCAGGAGGGTTTCTCCCACCATCTTTGCCATTTTTAAAGATTTATTTATTTATGCACACAAGAGATGGGGTACAGGCCAGAGGTGCGGGGGTGAGAGGATTCCCCAGAGACAGAGCGGGGAGCAGAGAGGTAGATCCACTGAAGCACACTGCTGAGGGGAGCCGCGGGGAGACAGGAGGGGTCTGCTGCGCCCTGTGGGTCCCTCCCTGGCCGGAGATCAAACTTGTGCTGCAGGGGCTGCGGACAGCTTCACAGTGCTGAGACTCACCCCTGCACCACCAGGGGTGAGTGAATTTTTTAATTCAAGGAAAGAAACTGATCCAGAAATGACTCCTTTGGCTGTCCTGTTCAGATCGGCTGGCTAGGACCAAGGCAGCCCCCGCCTGCCAGGCTCACGGGGAAGTGACGAGCCCCTTGTGAAACGGGCCTGCAGGTGACCCCACCGCGCTGGGAACTTGCGGCCAATATGTGAAGAATGAAGTTGGGTTCCGCTGGATACAGGCAGGGGTTGGGAAGTGGCTGGTGGAAATTCAACAAAGAGCATCTGCCATTATACCCAAGGTTCATTTCCCTCAAATTCTAAATGACATTTAATCTAAGATCGCACGCATGTGTGAATAAATGTAATGGTATCTGTAAAAATTACCTTTCCATATTTTGCATTCGCGATTATTTTCATATGACATACTTTTTTTTAAAGATTTGTTTATTTATGCATATAGAACTGGGGTGCAGGCCAGAGATGCGGAGGGTGAGAGGCTTCACCAGAGACAGAGCAGGGAGCAGAACAGGCAGATCAGCGAAGTCCACTGCTGAGGGGAGCGGCAGGCGGTCAGGAGAGGTCTGCAGCGCCCTGTGGTCACCTCCGGGCCAGGCGGGGATGGAACTCGTGCGGAAGCGGCTTGAGCTTCTCAGTGCTGCGCTGTAACCCGCTGCGCCCCCAGGGAGGGCCTACATACATACTTTTGATCTTGATGTTTTGTATAATATTTTAAAATGACATGCGCTCCCTGGTGGCGCAACGGGTCAGGATGCAGCACTGCAAGCTGCCACAGCCGCTTCAGTGCCAGTTCAATCCCCGCCCCGGAGGTGACCCCAGGGTGCAGCAGACCCCTCCTGTCTCCCGGCTGCCCCCTCAGAGTGGACTTAGTTCGTCTGCCTGTTCTGCTCCCCGCTCTGTCTCTGCTGGATCCTCTCACCGTCCCCGCACCTCTGGCCTGTACCTCAGTTCTACATTCATCAATAAATAAATCTTAAAAAAAGAAATGACGATCAGCTCAAAATGCCCTTTAGTGAACCTTCAGTGATTTAACTGAGCAGTGAGGGCTGGCAGCTTCAGCGCACATTTCCTTGATTCTGCAGTTTGATGTAGGGTTCCCCCCAGGTGCATTCATTCCTTGTTTTCCGTCCCAAACACAACCCACACTTAACTAGGGGACCTGCATTTTACGTTTGTTTTGCTGCGTACTATGGATAGGTGCTGTTAATACTGAGGACATGAATAATAACATTGAGGACATAATTCATCGAAAATGTAGTCTATGCTTAGAAAGTCGTATCATTTTCCAGCACCAGTCACTGTGAAAGCTGGATGTAAACAGCGTCACTGAATCCGCAAAATAAAAAGCAAGGTGGTTCCCCCCCTCTGTGCTCACGTCCCTCCACCTCGGCATCCAATCACTCACCCATTTTCTCTCATTATATTTTCCCCCCAAAATGTTGTATCAATAGAATCACACATAAATAACCTTTTGAGGCAAGTACTTTCACTCAGCATTTAAGGTCCATCCAAGTTGTTGCTTGGGTCATTCATCTTTTTAAATAAAATTACTTAGTAATATTTCATTTTGTGGGTTTATCAGTTTGCTTATCCATAAATTTGGG